GTAGTTGTATTGCACNATGTCTTATTTACAGTTTAAATCGGTAACAAGATGACTCATACATCTAAATTACACACTTTTCAATGACAAATACTTAAAAAAAATCTCAATCACGCCCATACTTTCAAACGTAACCGGGATTTTACAAAAAGATCAACAGACAGTATGTAATCGTTATATTCAAAAACTGTTTAATTTAATTTGATATGTTAAGCTAATATAGTCTCTAAACAGCCGTGATTGATACAATTTTGAGATTACGTGCCAGATAGGTATATATATCGGCTATGAGATAACCGTCATTTACGGTTACTGCGTCTTACAATATATATTTGATTTGGACTTGGCACGGAAACATGTCTGTTGCTCCTTTAGTCCCTTTCCCGACATGTATTTAAAAACGTTTGGGAAACTTGGAATTATTTATTTAGTTATTGCTTGTTTCAATTACCGTTATTTCGTGAACGGGCTAGAAGCTCTACTAAAGCAAATTAGTATTAAAATCAATTTTTAAGCTATCAAAACTATGTTCCTCTTTGATGTATTTTATTTTCACTAGAACATATTTACATCATCCGACTTTACTATCAACATAATGCATTTTGGAGCATGCATGCCAACTGCTGTTTTGAAGATTTGAGTGAACGTGTCTAAATGTTAAAATAACGTTCCCTCCAGTAAACACTTATTCATACAGGCGGCGTCCTTGCTACAAACTCAATTCACGACAAGAGGTTGAAGGTCAGTGCTACTATATATAGAAATAAAGTTTCTACACAATAGTATTATCTTTAAACGTCATACAGGTCTCTTTTCCGTCATGTTTTTCAGTGCAAAGGTCAAGGCCAGTATTACATCACGATCAAGTTTCTTTGACCAATAGGACTAAAGCTTCATACAGAATTTTTATTCCGAAAACAGTGATGGTAGTCCTTTATAGGTCAAAGGTCACCGTCATCCTAAACAGGAATCAGCTTCAGTTTCAGTTTCCTGGACCACACTAGAACCACGGAATGCTATCTAAGTCCGTGCTAGAACTCATATATTGCTTCAAGGTCATTGTTACTATATTTAGAAACTTAGTTTCCACACAATTCCTCTGGTTTTCGTTGAATAAAAAGTGCTTGCTCGGGAATGTTTTTGAGTTTGTCCCTCTTACTATAAACAGAAATTCTTCAACAGTGTCAATCCATGTTATCCCTTCACAAACAACAGTCTGGGGGAATTAGTATAGCTCAGTGATACCATAATGCACGTGTAGGATTTGACCAATGGGAGGTACCCATGACTGTGCTGGTGTTATTTCCATCAAAAGGCTAGACAATCCATAGTGTTAAATATATAGTCCAACCTTAATCACCCAGTCTCTGACACCCCCAAAACACTAAACAGACATGTTTATTTAGAAATTAAATCAAATTGTAAAATGAAAAACATTTGTACTAGATGCATTCTATTTTTTTTTCTCCTTCCCTTTTTCAGAAACCAGTGTTTGGATTAATTAGAAGCTATATTAAGAAACACAGATTGTTCTTAAACTTTCAAAACGAACCTGGTTTCAAAACGAACCTTCATTTATACCAGAGGTATTCAACAATATTTTTCTTTAGAAATAAGTATTCTATACAAGATATCACTGTATTATACTAGTTATCCTCCCTTTGGTGTCAACTTGATTATGGTCATTGTGGTTTACACTATTTCTATACAGTAAAACTCGACTTTATGAAAAACCAGTCTGACATACTAAGAAATATGTGTTTTGTGGCAATGTTAAATATCAGAGGATGTCTGTGAGAGTGGGGCCGGTAATGTTAGATATCAGAGGATGACGTCTGTAAGAGTCCGGGCCGTTATACTAGAGTAAGAGTTCAATGTTAGATATCAGAGGATGTCTGTAAGAGTGGGGCCGGTAATGTTAGATATCAAAGGATGTCAGTAGGAGTTGGGCCGGTAATGTTAGATATCAGAGGACGTCTGTAAGAGGGGGGCCGGTAATGTTAGATATCAGAGGATGTCTGTAAGATTTGGGCCGGTAATGTTAGATATCAGAGGATGTCTGTAAGAGTTGGGGCCGGTAATGTTAGATATCAAAGGATGTCAGTAGGAGTTGGGCCGGTAATGTTAGATATCAGACGATGTCAGTAGGAGTTGGGGCGGTAATGTTAGATGTCAGAGGACGTCTGTAAGAGTGGGGCCGGTAATGTTAGATATCAGAGGATGACGTCTGTAAGAGTCCGGGCCGTTATACTAGAGTAAGAGTTCAATGTTAGATATCAGAGGATGTCTGTAAGAGTGGGGTCGGTATACTTAGAGTAGTAGGTCAATGTTAGATATCAGAGGATGTCTGTAAGAGTGGGGCCGGTATACTTAGAGTAGTAGGTCAATGTTAGATATCAGAGGATGTCTGTAAGAGTGGGGCCGGTAATGTTAGATATCAGAGGACGTCTGTAAGAGTGGGGCCGGTAATGTTAGATATCAGAGGACGTCTGTAAGATTGGGGCCGGTAATGTTAGATATCAGAGGATGTCTGTAAGATTTGGGCCGGTAATGTTAGATATCAGAGGATGTCTGTAAGAGTGGGGCCGGTAATGTTAGATATCAGATGATGACTGTAAGAGTGGGGCCGGTAATGTTAGATATCAGATGATGACTGTAAGAGTGGGGCCGGTAATGTTAGATATCAGAGGATGTCAGTAGGAGTTGGGCCGGTAATGTTAGATATCAGAGGACGTCTGTAAGATTGGGGCCGGTAATGTTAGATATCAGAGGATGTCTGTAAGATTTGGGCCGGTAATGTTAGATATCAGAGGATGTCTGTAAGAGTGGGGCCGTTATTCTTAGAGTATTGGTTCAATGTTAGAGATCAGAGGATGTCTGTAAGAGTGGGGCCGGTATTCTTAGAGTAGTAGTTCAAAGTTAGATTTCAGAGGATGTCTGTAAGAGTGGGGCCGGTAATGTTAGATATCAAAGGATGTCAGTAGGAGTTGGGCCGGTAATGTTAGATATCAGACGATGTCAGTAGGAGTTGGGGCGGTAATGTTAGATATCAGAGGACGTCTGTAAGAGTGGGGCCGGTAATGTTAGATATCAGATGATGACTGTAAGAGTGGGGCCGGTAATGTTAGATATCAGAGGATGTCTGTAAGAGTGGGGCCGGTATTCTTAGAGTAGTGGTTCAATGTTAAATATCAGAGGATGTCTGTGAGGTCGGGGCCGGTATTCTTAGAGTAGTTGTTCAATGTTAGATATCAGAGGATGTCTGTAAGAGGGGGGCCGGTATACGTAGAGTAGTAGTTCAATGTTAGATATCAGAGGACGTCTGTAAGAGTGGGTCCGGTAATGTTAGATATCAGAGGATGTCTGTAAGAGTGGGGCCGGTAATGTTAGATATCAGAGGATTTCTGTAAGAGTTGGGGCCGGTAATGTTAGATATCAAAGGATGTCAGTAGGAGTTGGGCCGGTAATGTTAGATATCAGACGATGTCAGTAGGAGTGGGGGCGGTAATGTTAGATATCAGAGGACGTCTGTAAGAGTGGGGCCGGTATACTTAGAGTAGGAGTTCAATGTTAGATATCAGAGGACGTCTGTAAGAGTGGGTCCGGTAATGTTAGATATCAGAGGATGTCTGTAAGAGTGGGGCCGGTATTCTTAGAGTAGTAGTTCAATGTTAGATATCAGAGGATGTCTGCAAGAGTGGGGCCGGTATCCTTTGAGTAGTGGTTCAATGTTAGATATCAGAGGATGTCTGTGAGGTCGGGCCGGTATACTTGGAGTAGTAGTTCTCATGCTCAAGCATGGATTCTGTGATCAACGTATACTTAGAGTAGTAGTTCAATGTTAGATATCAGAGGACGTCTGTAAGAGTGGGTCCGGTAATGTTAGATATCAGAGGATGTCTGTAAGAGTGGGGCCGGTATTCTTAGAGTATTGCTTCAATGTTAGATATCAGAGGATGTCTGTAAGAGTGGGGCCGGTATGCTTAGAGTAGTAGTTCAATGTTAGATATCAGAGGACGTCTGTAAGAGTGGGTCCGGTAATGTTAGATATCAGAGGATGTCTGTAAGAGTGGGGCCGGTAATGTTAGATATCAGATGATGACTGTAAGAGTGGGGCCGGTAATGTTAGATATCAGATGATGACTGTAAGAGTGGGGCCGGTAATGTTAGATATCAGATGATGACTGTAAGAGTGGGGCCGGTAATGTTAGATATCAGATGATGACTGTAAGAGTGGGGCCGGTAATGTTAGATATCAGATGATGACTGTAAGAGTGGGGCCGGTAATGTTAGATATCAGATGATGACTGTAAGAGTGGGGCCGGTAATGTTAGATATCAGATGATGACTGTAAGAGGGGGGCCGGTAATGTTAGATATCAGAGGATGTCAGTAGGAGTTGGGCCGGTAATGTTAGATATCAGACGATGTCAGTAGGAGTTGGGGCGGTAATGTTAGATGTCAGAGGACGTCTGTAAGAGTGGGGCCGGTAATGTTAGATATCAGATGATGACTGTAAGAGTGGGGCCGGTAATGTTAGATATCAGAGGATGTCTGTAAGAGTGGGGCCGGGATTCTTAGAGTAGTGGTTCAATGTTAGATATCAGAGGATATCTGTAAAAGTTGGGCCAGTATTCTTTGAGTAGTGGTTCAATGTTAGATATCAGAGGATGTCTGTGAGGTCGGGCCGGTATACTTGGAGTAGTAGTTCTCATGCTCAAGCATGGATTCTGTGATCAACAAACTTTCTTGTGACTTGCAGTTACGTTACAAAATCAAAAATTCAAGGGTAAACATTGAAAATGAAACTTGGCTTAAAGTCTCTCAAAAATCTTACAAGTATTTGACAAAACTTCCATTTGTTTTAATGTAGAACTGTAGCAAGAAGCTGGGCTAGGGTTAAACAAGCAGAACTAAACTTTAAGTCTGAGTATGAGAATGGCTTCATGAATACAGGTTAAGTAAGATTTCTCTGCATTTGAAAGAAATAATAAACACCTAAAAAGCGGTTGTAAATATTTATTACGCCCAAGGTACAATTGTACTCTTCTCTCATAATACATTGGCATTAAAATACAATCAGATTTGTTGCGTACTATACATATATATACATCATACAGGCGAGTGCTCCAAGTCTACAGACCAATGTGGTCTCAGATAAAAGTACCAAATCTGTTACCCCATATACAGAAAATATTCCAGAGAATTACCTGTCAACAAAATCAACTCTCAATTTTAAAATTCAGCTGAAACGCTTCTACTGAATAAACGTTTAAAGACTCCCATAAAAAGAATTATGACTGGATGGTAAGTCCACTTTCCATCACCAATCTGATTTTAAAGGTTAATAAACACTTGTTACTATAAGCTTAACTAAGCATTTAAAATTTCAAAAATGTTGTCCATGAACAACTGGTCTCACAAGCATGAAATTGCATCCTGCCACACTCATCAAATCTTTTGTTTGTCTAAAATAAATTCACGGGAATATTTCTCATATTTGCAAGTGCTTATACTGTACTGTATTTGCAGAATTGGCAATGTGTTTGCTTGTACGACCATCAAATTTCTGCACAAGAATTAAAATTAATGACAACAAATGTCATAATAACGCCGATATAACTTCGACTAAATCTTCAGTTCCTATACAATCTAAAAAATATGACAAGTGCTTTAAACATAAACAAACTGGCCGTTATAGGAAAAACAGTGGGATTTAATGTTCTTTTAATAATATGTTTACATAATTAGTACTATTTCAATTTTCATTTTTATTTATTTGCTATACACTACTATGCGACAAGCACCTCAAGGCTTACTATTACACATAATCTCACAAAGCTTGAAGGTGTCTGTGCTCAATAAAACAGTAACCTCTCTTAGGGTCCCCATAAAATCGGGAAATCTTAATCATTTGGAAGCTTCACTTCCATCATCACAGAAGGATAATAATCTCGGTGCACTGTACGGAACACAAACCAACAACACTATTGAGTTGAGTGTGTGTTCGTTGAATATAATATTTATAATATTCGTCATATTTAGAATCCTCGTTGGAGAAATACAACAGCCCTTTCTATTAACACCCAATAGGCATGGCACAAATTTAGAGTTATTCCCCTTGACTGTAAGTGTTAACACCATAATCTATCATTACCAGGTCACGAAAGTGACTGAATTCTGTCTGTGAAAGCAAGTCAACACCCATGTTTCCCATATCAGTGATGTGATATGTATTTATATAGCACTATGTTTATAAAGATCTCTCCCAACATTGCAAGTACATGCATATGAAACATCTACTTAGTTAACTCATCCACCCCTGAAGACACATTTGAACTCTTCCAATTCAAATGTTGGAATAGCTCATTATGAGATTTCAGGGGTGAATGAGTTAAACCATGTCTATGGATTTAATCATCACTTGTGCCTAAAAAAGAAAAATTAAGGAAAAGGAAAAGAATTCTTTTCCTCTCACTTGTGTCATCAGATGAGGCGTGAGTTTGAAGGCAAGCTGAGTAATGAATTTCACATCAATGTATCATGGTAAAGCATTATAATTGTCCATTGAAAACATTTGACTAACTTCAAAACTTTGTGTCAATTATTGAATTGGGAAGAGTACCATCAATGTATGGAAACATGCATTTGAGCAGTCGACAAAACTGAAAATATCCTCTTAAATTTGATGACTATTGACTCAAAATGTCATCAGAACATGCAACATTGATATCAAAATAATGAATTATATATTCAACTTCAGATCTTGTCGACTTACGTACTCAGAATGTCAAGATTAATATGCATTAATATTTCCCATGCTATCTGCATCAGGCAGTAAAAGTGATTTCCGTTGATGTTGACTATACTACAACACAAATGATTGACCTTGATGAAAAGCCAGGATGTATAACTGAACTATCTGCCTTTTGTTCGCCTCTATATACCACTGGGTCGCCTCTATATACCACTGGTCAAAATATGTTATAGAATTGAAATGGTGGTTGAATTATATGAAAATTTATTTATAATTTTACAAATACATGTACTTTGGATAAAAATAATTTAAATGTACTTTCAGGTACTAAACGAAATGTGTTACAATCGAGGGGAGTGAACATGCATAGATATTTTCCCAAATCTTAAATTTGCCTTTGATATTGATATTTTAGAGGTTTAATCCTGGACATTGTTGGAGACTGACTGTTATGTTAAGCTCGAGAGGGGAGGATGTAAATTGGGGAGATGATACGATGGTGAATTGTTCATTTTACAATGTTGTGGAATGTCTGGCATAAGCCAAAAGTCCAATGACCTGTGATCTTTCCTGTGCGGATTATCACACCAGCTTCGATCTCGCAACACAAAATGTTTGGACAGCTCATTGTAGGCCACTTCCCTTTCTACATTTTATAATAATGATGATAATAATACATTACAAGGCATTTTGTGATTAAGCAGATTCAATCACTCACACTTTCACTACTCATGTTTGTAATCACATTTTCAGAACGCCACATCAAATAAAAATCATAATGAATGCAAAGAAACTGAAAGATATCTATGGAGAACGTATCACAATTGTATGTAGGGAATTCATCGCTTTTCTAACTGACCACAGAACTGTACAGAAGAAACAGTGCTTTCATGACCGATTGGAATGGTGTTCAGTTAAAAAATACTCAAGGATGGACTTTTCCTCCAGATTTGTTCCGCTTGCTCCATTGACGTAGGTTTCAGTCTTAAAAAACATTATGTAAATGTTGCCACAACTAAGCACATTTTTCGATACAACTATGCACACAAAGGCAAGAAACTTGTCAAGAAGAGCAGCATTTTTCTTGATGTTTTTTATTACACAGGTGCTATAGTTCAAGACTACCAAAAGCAGTAGACAGAATCAATAGGACCGATACCTAATATATGTTGGCAAGCACTAGAAGACTGACCCAAAGGTCAAGGTCAATGACTGATATGACCTTAACCCTTACAATGAGGTTAAATGTAGATATTTCTAATGCAGCTTGTGTAATGAAGTGAGAATGTCGTGCTTTCCGGTATTTTAGTCAGATGCAGAGTTACATAAACAAAATTTAAATACATAATAAAATACACCTACATATCGATACATTTGACAGAAATAAGGATTAGAATGATCGTATACGACACACTAGGAAATATGGGGGGAAATAATGATTGTCCTTGATATTGCAGTAGATACTCATTTTGTTTGTTGACAACTCATGATGAATATTGATAAAATAGATCAAATAAAGTCTTGAAAATTGGAATTAAGGAACAAAACTTTACATTCCACACAGCTGAAACTTCCCAGTCCTCACCCCAATCACGTTGGAAGGGAAACGATCGAGTACATCGATGCTCCATATTGCCAAAGACGTGTCACTTCCTGTCACGAAGGTGTCTCACCAACAGACCTGTCAACGATCTGCTGCGTCGTTTATCACAAGACGCAACTATGGGAACTACCAGATACCAGTTTGATCGGTATTGCATTACCATGGCGATCTCCGGCCTCTGTCAGTTTGTAACCATGGAAGCCATGCTATGTCCATATTCTTATAAATGAGCGTAAATAAGAATACATATGCTAGTCGTTTGGGTGCGTGCAGTATGCAGCGTGAAAACATTTCCACTGTTGGCGAACTAGCGGACAAGCTTCTGACTGACACCCCACCACCGATACGGGGGGGATGATCAGTGTAAGGTGGTCATGGTGATGGGTGGTGTAGTCACGATGAAGATGATGGAGGTTGTGACTGGCGTGGCACCTGGAGTTTGCTGAGAGTCTCCGTGCTGGCCGAGGCTCGCAGTATGGAGTTTTCTTGCTCCAGTTGGTTGTTCTTTTCTACAAGTTCCTGGATCTGCTCCTTGAGGACCTCCACCTCCTCGCGCACAGCATACATCAGGTGGCTCTTCACCAGGTCCTACAACACAGAAAGTAAACACAGGGTAAATAGCTGGGCATGTAAAACAATGTCCAACAGGAGGTAGAAACAGGGTAAATAGTTGTGTGTATAAAAGATAGTTTATACCTTGTATGTATCACAGCCCGGTTGATAGAGGGTAAATTCTGCGTAAATACAGAATAAATCCAGGCAGTGTTAAATCTATTAGTTAGTAAATTCTGGCAGAGACCAATGTAGTAGTCATACAGACAGGTAAAACAAAGTAAATTCTTTGTAAATGTAAGGTAAAGTCAGATATTTCCTGATCTGGTAATGTTTCACAGTGAGGAAACTACAGGGTAAAATTTATTGGTGTACAGTACTTTCCCAGGTGTATATGTAATACAGTGATCATGGAAGGTAATTTCAGGAATATACAGAGAATTTGCAGAAGAGAAATTTGTGAATTGTCAAGTAATAATGGAAAGCAATATTTTCCTATGCTAAATCTAATCCTGCCCCAGATTGATGTGTTGCACTCACACATGGAGAGTTTAGGGAAACATTAACGTGGAAACCTGCTGCTTCATTACACGCTTCAGAAGGTTTCACAAACTCATTTTCAAAACACACTTAACTGTGGTAATAGTTAAAAGGCTACCTTACACTTTATCAACAGGAGTACAAACCGTAACAGCTAAAACAAGATAACACCAGGCGCACATGATAAAACAGAACAGACGCCTGCCCGCTATCTATTTATGAGCTATAATCGGCCAAAAATAGGTACTCCTTCAAATAACTCACCAAAACAACTTGGCACTGAGAAAAAGTATTTTGTCTTGTATGATTCGGGGACTACATTCAAGACTGTTATTATTTTCATCATTATGCATGATGCATTCATAAACAAGTACATTTAGAATGGTCTAATTAGGTCTATTATATCTTGTTCAGTTTTTGGCTTAAAATGTATGTGCACTGATGGTGTTTTTTTTTTTAAATAGCAATAACTTTGTTTACCTTTCATATATAAAAAGGTAAGGATTGAGCTGATTGTTTTTTGGGGGGTAATGTATAACAAGAAAACAAGGTTCCTAGTTACTTCTACTGAACACCCACTAAAGGACTTGCTGGTGTATCTTCTACTGAACACCCAATAAAGGACTTGCTGGTGTATCCTCTACTGAACACCCACTAAAGGATTTGCTGGTGTATCCTCTACTGAACACCCACTAAAGGATTTGCTGGTGTATCCTCTACTGAACACCCACTAAAGGATTTGCTGGTGTATCCTCTACTGAACACCCACTAAAGGACTTTCTGGTGTATCTTCTACTGAACACCCACTAAAGGCTTTGCTGGCGTATCTTCTACTGAACACCCACTAAAGGATTTGCTGGTGTATCTTATACTGAACACCCACTAAAGGACTTGCTGGTGGATCTTCTACTGAACACCCAGTAAAGGATTTGCTGGTGTATCTTCTACTGAACGCCCACTAAAGGACTTGCTGGTGTATCTTCTACTCAACACCCACTAAAGGACTTGCTGGTGTATCTTCTACTGAACGCCCACTAAAGGACTTGCTGGTGTATCTTCTACTGAACGCCCACTAAAGGACTTGCTGGTGTATCTTCTACTCAACACCCACTAAAGGACTTGCTGGTGTATCTTCTACTCAACACCCACTAAAGGACTTGCTGGTGTATCTTCTACTCAACACCCACTAAAGGACTTGCTGGTGTATCTTCTATTGAACACCCACTAAAGGACTTGCTGGTGTATCTTCTACTGAACGCCCACTAAAGGACTTGCTGGTGTATCTTCTATTGAACACCCACTAAAGGACTTGCTGGTGTATCTTCTACTGAACGCCCACTAAAGGACTTGCTGGTGTATCTTCTATTGAACACCCACTAAAGGACTTGCTGGTGTATCCCCTACTGAACACCCACTAAATGATTTGCTGGCGTATCTTCTACTGAACACCCACTAAAGGATTTGCTGGTGTATCCTCTACTGAACACCCACTAAAGGATTTGCTGGTGTATCCTCTACTGAACACCCACTAAAGGATTTGCTGGTGTATCCTCTACTGAACACCCACTAAAGGACTTGCTGGTGGATCTTCTACTGAACACCCAGTAAAGGATTTGCTGGTGTATCTTCTACTGAACGCCCACTAAAGGACTTGCTGGTGTATCTTCTACTGAACACCCAATAAAGGACTTGCTGGTGTATCCTCTACTGAACACCCACTAAAGGACTTGCTGGTGTATCTTCTACTCAACACCCACTAAAGGACTTGCTGGTGTATCTTCTATTGAACACCCACTAAAGGACTTGCTGGTGTATCTTCTATTGAACACCCACTAAAGGACTTGCTGGTGTATCCCCTACTGAACACCCACTAAATGATTTGCTGGCGTATCTTCTACTGAACACCCACTAAAGGATTTGCTGGTGTATCGATCTTCATGTTCAACTTCATGAATTATATCCTTCATTCATCATTAATATCGTTTTAATTAAAATAGAACTTTGTAGCCCCAAAGGTGTATTGTCATAAATGTGAAATATTGTGGGAATTATACATTGCGAGTTGTATGGAGACCGGTTCCCCGAGGTATTCTTTACAATTCATACATAAACTCAAACCTTTCTTAATCAAACACACCACATAAACCCTTGGTAATGAAAGAGATGATTATTACCTCCAAGACTTCATTATGTATATCGATTTTCTTAATCTCTCGTCATCAGTAGCCCTTGAGCAATGTAAAGCAGCAACGATGACGCAAGCATTATTGGAAATCATACATATAATCTTTGTGTATGGAAAATTACTATGCTGCAGCAGACAGAGGCTATAAGTACACCTCAAGTAGCTCCTGTGTATCAAAATAGTACGATTCATCATTTCTTGTTTTCCATGCTTGCTTCGTTCATTCTCTTTAAGGAAATGGCAAATACTCAAAATCATACACCCACTCATTTTCCACAAGTTTTCGTTTCATTTCTCTCTCCAGAATATCTTGACATTAAGCAAGCGCACACCTTTAAAGAGATAGTGAAACTTCAATATTTTCCACGATACTGTCGTGCTGGGAGGAGGGGTTTTAACACCTTTATATCTGCATTGCAGTAATGTACCCACCTGGATTTCAGGCCCAGATACCATCACCTGCCCACCGAGTTTTCCAATAATCAATTTTGCACTCACAGGTTGTTTTACCTTAGCCCATCCACACATTATACTGAGAAAACGTGAGCCGTGTCTGCATATTATACCAAAACCCTTGAGCCCCCCTCACATGATACAATGAACTTAGGTGCCACTCCCATCTTACTGGTCAATTGATAATGTCCGTCATCCATATTCTACCAGCATTTCACATATGCTCTCCCAACTGATGGAAAATTCCTGACGGAAGATTTTTTTTTTCATCTCTTTTGTGCCAATTTTCGCTAGAAACATCGGATGGATTAATGTGAATGAATATGATGTAATAATGCTTGCCCCCCCCCCCCTCTATAACATAACAATGTGCAATAATTACCAGGACTCTTAAGGGGTGTACAATTTTACTAGCCTGTTAACCAGGTATAGGAGATTTTAGGTCAGGACTAGAGAACATTTTCTAAATTTATCAAGAAAAAAGAAAATACACTGGCACAATCGGCTGTATGTAGAATTATTCAAAAACTGTCTATAGGCAAACCAGTACTCTAAAATATGAAATCGTACACCCCTGTGTTACGTGTATGGTTGTATCTTGCTCCATGTATTGAGTGTGTTTTCCGAAACCCTCCTCGAATATTTACAAACTTTGTGCAGATAAAATTACACTTGATCATGTTTGGTGGACAGCTACATTTTGATGTTACAAACAGATTAATGCGTTTCACAAGATCAAATGTGAAAATATCTGTAAAAAGTGATCTATAAACAACATCAATTGCCACATCCTCATAATTTGGAAACGTTATTTCGGAGAACATCTGATGATTATAATGCTATTGCTAGACTCAACAGTTTTAGCTGGTAGACATGCAACAATAACTCATTCCATTCTTCCTTTCATCTACTTCCAGTATTTTATCTACACATTATCAATACAATTGCTTCATTTGAATATTTGTATCAAGCCAGCACACATCCTGTGTTAAGTCTTAGGTGTGAGTAATTATATAACAGCTACATGATGCAGTTTACTTTTTAATCTGGAACAGTGAGAGGAACGTCTAGCTCTAGTTCTGCCATTGTTGTACACCCCACAGCCTACTCCTACACGTACGAGTTTGCCAAGGAAACAAAATACGGCACCTCCCTCCAAAGTTGATGATGCGCCACCAACCCAAGGCTTTGTGAACAACACTTTGGATAGCACTATACTGGGTAAACCAGATGCAATTCTGTGTGTTTTTTTGCTTCAAAATACTTTCTAAAATCAAGACTATATTACATGGAAACCACAAAAAAAATCAAAAAAAAAATTACATTTTTGTTAAAAAAATTATTTCAATAACTGATGCAGATAAATGAAACCAATCTACATTGTCAATTTTGTTCTTTTTGCTTCAATCAAATCAAATGGGACATGATCCGCTTTATGGGTTTCTATACAAAGGATAACTTGAATTTCAAATATTTATTATATTATTCAACACTTTTCTCTGCTTCCTGATATGATGTTATGGGGAGTTTTTTTGTAGGCAGTGGTAATTACATTCAGATATGAAACAAGGTTTGAAACCTGAAGATGAGCTGCACAGACATTGGAATACCCTGTACACTATCAGACATCACCAGAGACATTGGCATACCCTGTACACTATCAGACATCACCAGAAACATTGGAATACCCTGTACACTATCAGACATTACCAGAGACATTGGAATACCCTGAACACTATCAGACATCACCAGAGACATTGGAATTCCCTGTACACTATCAGACATCACCAGAGACATTGGCATACCCTGTACACTATCAGACATCACCAGAGCCATTGGAATCCCCTGTACACTATCA